TATGTACACATGTGCACATATGCATATATATACACATATATAAATATAGGACACACATGCTCACTCATACATATTGACAGTACATATATAGCTATACATTAAACAGAGAAAAGATAATGTGGTTTTCCTCAGGTCAAAGTGGCCCAGTACTGGCCTGAGAAGGAACCCATGTTCAAGGGCGGCCTCGAGATTTACCTGAAGAAGGAGAAGGTGAAGGTAAGAAAAGTTTTTTTTTTTTTTTTTTTTTTTTTTTTTTTTTTTTTTGCGTGCTGATTCCGTCAATTTGCGTTCAATTTACAAAAGCCACGTCGCGGAAACTTCATTTCTCAGTTATTGCGTGAAATGCAGGTCTACTTTAGCTGTAGTTTTGATATTATAGTTATGATTATAGTTCTAATTTTTATAATAACAATAGGATGGTTAAATCATCAATAATGATAATAATGATGATAATAATGATAATGAAGATAACGATGATTATGGTATTGATGATAATGATAATAGTAATGATAAAGATAATAATAATGATAATGATAGTAAACATTATAGTCATAATGACAGTAACAAAAACGGATAATGATAGTAACAATTATAATAATGACAATGTTGATAGCAATAGTAATGATATAATAATGATAATAGTAATACTAATAGTACTGATTAGTAATAATAGTGATAACAATAATATTGATGATAATAATGATAATAGCAATAATGATAATGATAATAATGATAATAAATGAATAATGATGATGATAACAAATGTAATAACGATAATGATAATAACAACAATGATAATAACAACAATGATAATAACAACAATGATAATCATCATAATCATAAAAAACAGCAAAATAATAATAAAGATAATGATGACAACAAAAGATATCACTATTATCAAAGCTCCAATTTTATTAATATCGACAATCATAACGAATCCTTTTCAGATGGACTTCGTGGTAAGAACCCTTGGCATTCGGCTTGACCACGAAGAGAGAGAGGTGAGGAGCAACCATAAAGAGTTTTAGTTCATTTATACGTTAATTCTGAATTATACAGTGTATATATATTGCCTTGGACTGTGTGTAATAGTCCCTTCATTATGTGAAGCGTAGGATGTGTGTGTGTGTGGCCTCATGATGTACAAACAATTGAGATTCCCTCTCCTTGTCTTCTACCTTCTCTTTCTCATTCTCTTCATCTTTCTCTCTCTCCTACTTTCCCTCACTCCTCTTCCTCTCTCTCTCCTTCTCTTTCCATCTCTCCCATCCCCTCTCTCTCCTTCGCTTTCTATCTCTCTCCTCTTTCCATCTCTCTCCTCCCTTCCCTTCTTTTCCCCTCCCCTTCTGCCTTATGATGTCCCGCACAAACAGCTAAAACCTCCTTGCCCTTTACCCTCTCATCCGCCCGCAGTTGAAACAGTACCAGTTCTTGGCCTGGCCTGACCATGGCGTCCCCCTGCACGCCTACAGCCTGGCGCAGATGGTGGCCAACATTCGGGCGGAGAACCTGGGCGACGGACCGCTTCTCGTGCACTGCAGGTGAGGCCCGCGGTGGCTCTGGGGCTCCTAGACGTACATCGTGCACATTCGGATGGTTGTCATCTGCTCTCCCCTCTCTCTATCTCTCTATCTATCTCCATCTCTATTTCTCTTTCTGTGTCACTGCCTTTTGTTCTTTTCATTTGTATTTTCTCTCCTTTGTTCCGGACACGACAAACCTCGTCTGCTTGATACGTTTCTTCTTTTTTTGTCCCGAACACGACAGACCTCGTCTGCTTGCTAAATATACTCTCCTTTATCCCGGACACGGCAAATCTGGTCCGTTTCACGCAGATTCTGTACGTGACACATCCTCTCGTGCCATTCTGACCTCGGCCTCCCCTTCTCCCTCGCAGCGCTGGCATAGGACGCACGGGCACCATCCTGCTGGTGCTGCACGCGCTCGACCAGCTGGAGGCGACGGCTCTTGTGAGCATGCGCGACGGCCTCCTCGAGCTCAGGAAGGCGCGTCCTTTGCTCGTGGAGAACGTGGTAAGGCATAAGGAAGAACGAAGGAGGAAGAGAGGGAGAGAGATGGGGAAGGAGAATAAGTAGAGGGAGGAAGGAAGAGGAGAGTGGGAAGGGGAAAGGGGTGGAGGATGGGTAAATGTGGGGGAGAGGAAGAGAGGGCAAGATAGGGAAGAGAGAGAGAGAGGGAGGTAAGTAAGGGTGGTAGGAAGGAGAAAGAGTGGATGGAAGGAGGAGGAGATTGGGAAAGAAAAAGGAATGGAGGATGGGAGAAACGGAGGCAAAGGGAAGACAACAGGGGAAGAGAGAGATAAGTTAGGGTGTGAGGAAGGTGAAAGAGTGGAGGGAGGAAGGAAGAGAGCAGGAAGGGGAAAGGAGTAGTAAGGGCAAAAGTAGGGGCGTCCTATTTTTTTTTTTTTTTTTTTTGGGGGGGGGGGGGATGGATCAGCAAAGGGGCTTGGCGAGCGAAGTGATCACAATCAGCTGAAAAATGAACGATTCTAGTGGCTTTTTAAAGCTATTATCAGAGGTATATAGATGTAATTAGACAAAAAAAAAAAAAAAAAAAAAAAAAATATAGATATATATAATATATATATATATATATATATACATATATATATATATATATATATATATATATATATATATATATATATAAAGATAAATAAATATATAGAAAATAAAAATCAGTACTAATGACAAAAAGGCGATTTTGTGAGCCCCCTGATGGGGAGAGGGGGGGGTCAAACTTCTGGAGGGCAAACAGAGTCTTGGGGGGGGGGGCAAAAATAAAAAATAAAAGGAGGAACGGAGAGAACAAGGAAAGACAATAAGGCTAAGAAAGAGAGGAGGAATCGAACTGAGAGAAGGCACGAGCGACCAAAACTCCCTTCTCCCTCCTTCGCATCCCGGCGCGATCCAGCCCCTCCACCCTTAACCCCCTCCCCCCCCTTCCCCCATCTCGCAGGTGCAGTACCGCTTCGCCCACCAGCTCCTGCACGAGATCCTCTGCGGGGAGACGACGAGCATCCCCTGTGGGAGCTTCCTGGAGGAGCTGGAGAGACTGAGGACGCCGAAGGACCAAGGAGGCGCCTCTGTTCTTCAGGAGCAGCACCAGGTGGGGGCGAGGTCGTCCTTCTCACCGCCTTCTCTTCGTGTCGTCTTTTCTTGCTACCTTTTCTTGTTCTCATTCCCTTTTCTTCTTTTTGTCTCCTCTTACTCCTCCTCATCATCGTCATCGCAATCGTCATCATAATCATCATCACCATCATCATTGTCATTATCATCATCATCATCACCATCATCGTCATCACCATCATCATTGTCATTATCACCATCATCATTGTCATCATCGCTATCATCCATATCATCATCATCATCATCATCATCACCATCATCGTCTTCATCACAATCATCCATCACCACACCATCATTCAGTCATCACCACCCGTCATTTAGTCCTCCCGCTCTTCTTCTCCCTCTTTAAACCTCCTTTATTTCTCTCTTTTTTTCCCTCTACTCGTCTTCTGTACGGAAAACACACCATGACTCAACACTCATTATCATATTATCCTTATTATCACATCATCATCTTATTATTATTACCCTATTATCACTTATTATTACCCTCTTATCCTTACAATTCGAGATAAACACATTACATCTTATTATTACCTAATAATCCTCATTCTCGATATCAAAGAAATCACTTTTCAATATCTTATTATCACTTATTATTATTATCCTTATAAATCGTTCAATGATATCTAAATCGTTCACTTTTCGCTTATTATCACTTATTATTACCTCTTTATCCCTATTCTAAATCGTAAAAATACACTTTTCAATACCTTATTATCACTTATTATTACCTGATTATCCTTATTCTAAATCGTAAAAAATCACTTTTCAATACCTGATTATCACTTATTATTCCCTGATTATCCTTATTCTAAATCGTAAAAAATCACTTTTCAATACCTTATTATCACTTATTATTACCTGATTATCTGTATTATCAGTCTTTAAAAAATCACTTATTACCGTATCATCACTTATCATTACTAGATTATCCTTATAACCAATTGTAAAAAAAATCATTTGTTACCTTTTCATCCTCATAATCAATCTTTAAAAAATCACTTTTTATTACCTTATCATCACTAATTATTGCCTGATTACCCTTATTATCAATCGTAAATAAATCATTTTTTCATCTTATCACTAATTATTATTACCTGATTATCCTTACCATTTTTTTCCTTATTTTATCTTATTATCCTTATCATCTTTTTATCATTATCTTATCATTATCTTTATCACCTTTTTATACTTATTTTATCTTATTATCCTTATCATCGTTTTATCCTTATTTTATCTTATTATCCTTATCATGTTTTTATCCTTTATCTTATTATCCTTATCATCTTTTTATCATTATTTTATCTTATCCTTATCACCTTTTTATCATTATTTTATCTTATTATCCTTATTTTATCTTATTATCTTTATCACCTTATCTTTTAGCCTTACCTTATTTTATCTTATTATCCTTATCATTTTTATCTTTATTTTATCTTATTATCTTGATCACCTTTTTATCATTATTTTATCTTATTAGCCTTATCATCTTTTATCCTTATTTTATCTTATTAGCCCTTTATCCTTATTTTATCTTATTAGCCTTATCTTTTATCCCTTATACATTTTTATTTTATCTTATTATCCTTATATCTTTTATCATTATTTTATCTTATTAGTTTATCATTATATCTTATTAGCCTTATCATCTTTTATCCTTTTTATCTTGTTAGCCTTATCATCTTTATCCTCATTTTATCTTATTAGCCTTATAATCTTTTATCCTTATTTTATCTTATTAGCCTTATCATCTTTTATCTTATATTACTTATCATCTTCTTTATTTTATCTTATTATCCTTACCATCTTTTATCCTTATTTTATCTTATTAGTTTTATCATTATTTTATCTTATTAGCTTATTCATCTTTTATCCTTATTTTATCTTGTTAGCCTTATCATCTTTTATCCTTATTTTATCTTATCATCTTTTATCCTCCGCCTTATATCTTTATCCTATTTTATCTTATTAGCCTTATATATTTATCTTGTTAGCCTTATCATCTTTTATCCTCATTTTATCTTATTAGCCTTATCATCTTTTATCCTTATTTTATCTTATTAGCCTTATCATCTTTTATCCTTATTTTATCTTGTTAGCCTTACCATTTTTTATCCTTGTTATCTTATTAGCCTTATCATCTTTTATCCTATTTTATCTTATTAGCTTTTATCTTATTTTATCTTATCCTTATATCTTTTATCCTTATTTTATCTTATTAGACTTATCATCTTTTATCCTTATTTTATCTTATTAGCCTTATCATCTTTTATCCTTATTTTATCTTATTATTATCATCTTTTATCCTTAGCCTTATCATCTTTCATTTTGCCTTATTTCATCTTTTATCTATTACTTATCATCTTTATCATTATTTTATTTATTACCTTAATTTTTATCCTTATTTTATCTTATTAGCCTTATCATCTTTTATCCTTATTTTATCTTATTAGCCTTATCATCTTTTATCCTTATTTTATCTTATTAGACTTATCATCTTTTATCCTTATTTTATCTTATTACTTATATCATTTTTTATTTTTATCTTATTATCCTTACCATCTTTTATCCTTATTTTATCTTATTATCCTTACCATCTTTTATCCTTATCTTATCTTATTCTTATCATTATTATCTTTATTCTCGTAAATAAATAACACCATCATGACAGCCACACAACGCCCGTGCAAAGTAATGCAAGTGTGGAATTCATGTTGAACAGATTGCAAAAGGAACGACGAAGGGAAGGGCAAGAAAACACACGAATATGCCCTTCGTGTGTTTTCTTGCCCTTCCCTTCGTCGTTCCTTTTGCAAAGTAATGCAAAAACGTCCTAATTTTCGCCGCAGAAACTGAAGGATTTCCCGAAAGGTCTGACCTTCTCCTTCGCCAAAAGACCGGAATTTGCGCACCTCAACCGTGACCCCGAGATCGTCCCAGGTTTTTTTTTATTTATTTTTATTTATTTTTTTATTTTTTTAATTATTATTATTTTATTTAATTATTATTTTATTTTATTATTATTATTATTTTTTGGTTTATTATTTTTTTTTTATTGGTTTTGTGCTAATTTTCAGCTGATGTTTTTTTTTTCTTTTCTTTTTTACGCGCTTAGGTTTTGAGTATTTTTTATGAGAATTTTGGTTTGAGTTTTTTTCTTTTTGTTTTTGAGCTTTGCTAATCTTTCCCTTCTTACTCGTCCAAGTTTTAACAATCAATTTTGAGCTAATTTCGAATTACTTTTGAACTAATTTTTCCTTCTTTAATCGCCCAAGCTTTTGAACTTGCTAATTTTCCCTTCTTACTGGTCCAAGTTTTTTTTTTTTTTTTTTTTTTTTTTTTTTGGCTGACTTTTTTAGGTTTATTCCGTGTTTTTTTAACTTAATTAATTTTCCTCTTCATCAAATTCTAAAAACTAACTTTGAGCCAAATTTAAACTAATTTTTAGCTATTTTTCCTTATTTACTCGCCCTAGTTTTCCCTCCTTATTCGGCCAATTAAAGCAAAACATAAACAAAAAAAAACTTTAATCGCCCAGGTTTTCAACAAAAATAAAATAATTTTGAGCTTTTTTAACTGATTTTTGCTTCTTTAATCGCCCAGGATTTTAACTTTTTAACTCTGCTGATTTTTCCCTCATTAATCGCCCAGGTCAAGCAAACAAAGTAACTAATTTTGTTAATTTTGTATTGATTTTTGAGCCAATTTTAAAACCTTTACTCGATTTTTTTTACTCTCTTTCTAACTCGCCCGCTTTTTTCTAAATCTTTACATTGCTTGTTTGTTTATTTTTTATTTATGTTTGTCTACTTGTTTGCTTGTTTCTTTATTCATGCTTGTTTATCTGTATTATTATTTGTGTGTGTGTTTGATTTTGCTTTTTATCACGGGTCGAAGTTTTATCATATGGTTTTGTCAGTTTAAGAGAAAACATTTTGTCCAAAAGGATTTTAATCAAGGAATCCGGGGCTACGGGGTAAAATATTTTTTTAAAATCCAGTAGGTAGAGAAAAAAGATAAATTAACAAAAACATATATAACTAAACAGATAAATAGAAAGAAATGAATAATAGAATAATAGTTTCCTCACCTCGACACGTCCCGCACGCTCTATACACAGTCTTGACCTTTGTTGACCTCTTATAGCGGATGGCAGGATGATCTTCCTCTACGTGCTGACCAGCGACTCTTGCTCCCAGTACATCAACGCCACTTTCGTCAATGGCTTCGACAAAAAGGTGAGAGAGGGCAAAATGGTGAACGTATATAGGTGTGAATATATATATATATATATATATATATATATATATATATATATTATATATATATATATATATATGTAGACACACGAAAGATGGAATAATGCACCACCGCATTTATATCATGAATCTATTGACCTCTCCGATCGGGATTCGATCTCTCACCGCCTGGATGAGTGTGTGGTGGTCTAGTGGATTGAGGGACCGTCTTGCAATCTCTTGCAACGGTGGTGAGGGATCGAATCCCGATCGGAGAGGTTAATATATTCATGTAGACACATGTATACACACATACAGAGGCAGATACACATACAGATACACACACAGATACACACACACACACACACTGTCGGGACATTGCTCTGAGAACGCCTTTGGACCGCGCGCGCACCCTCCTACACTTTCCAAAAACGGGACTGAAGTTTGGAAAGGAGAATGAGAGGGAAAACTTAGGGATAAGAGAAGGACAAGGGATGAAGAAAAAGGAATTTTAGGAGTAGCAGACAGGGTAAAGATTTGAGTAACAGTTAAGCTGTGAAAATTGGGTATCAGCTTAGTTTAGCGAGATTTGGATAACAGTTGAGTTCAGCGAGATTTTAAAATAATCACGTTATAATGAAATAAAAGAGGGGGAGGAGGATTCCTTAGTGTAAGGAGAGGTAGAAAAGCTATGGATAACGAACTACCCGAAAGAGTAAGCGAGAGTAATAAAGTAGAGGATTCCCCGACACTCTCCCCTTCGTCTCCTCCTCAGGACGAATTCGTAGCGATGGAGCACCCGATGGAGCACACCCTCGACACAGCCTGGAGGATGATCTACGAGAGGAAGATGCCGGTCTGGATCCTCATCCACGCCTTCCCCGACCACGACAAGGTACGTCGGGCGGAGCGGCGGGTGGCGGCTGGGCGTGGGAAGCGGGGAGAGAGAAAGGGTTGGATGGAAGGAGGTGTAGAGGAATAGAGGGAGAAATGGGGAGAGAAACAGATGCTATGGTGGGAGGTGATAGGATGTCTTATTTGCCTATTTATTTATCTATCTGTCCTTCGCTCTATCTATCTATCTTTCATCTATCCATATGTGAATCTACACACATACACACTGTAAGAGGCTGTTAACCTCCTACCTAGGGACTGGTAGGCAGTAATGGTAGTGGTAAATGGCAAGACTTTATTTCCCAAGAGTACACACAATTAATATGCGATACGAGAGACTGGGCAGTGCTTGAGCGGTGGCGCAGCCGGCCAGCTCGGGGGTGGGTGAGGGGGGGGGGGTCTTGGCGGCACGGTGACGGCGATCTCTGTCTCTGTCTGCTTGGGGTCACGCCGCGACCTGTCCTTCTATTGGCCGGCCGTGACCCAAGCGGATGGAAGCAGATGCCCTGGCTGATTCAAGATGCGCGCGGGCAACATGGATGCCGTGTAGCTTGACTATAGAGATGCCATACACACACAAATATAGATATATACGTACGAATATATAACACTTAACTTGCTCATTGATCATGGAAAATATATCCGCGCCTGACCTGTAAAACTGCCTCATTCTCTTCTCCAAAGGATTTCCCGAGCGTGCTCCCTCCCGCCGGAGAAGTGTGGAACCTGAAGAACATGAGAGTGGAGGTCATCAGCAGTCAGTTCTATAACAACTTCAATGAGGCAACCGTTCAGGTGTCGTTCGTGAATAATGAGGTACGTGTTTGAGGGAGGGAGGAGAGGGGAGGGGAAGGGATATATATATATATATATATATATATATATATATATATATATATATATATATATATATATATATATATATATATATTATTATAAATAAAGATAGATAATGTATATATGATTTATACACACACACACAAACACGCATATCGAATATACACATGAATAACATTTAGATAGACAGAGACAGACAAACTGACTGACAGACAGACAGACGGAGCGATCGACCCAGAGTCCCGCAGCACCCCCCCCCCCCTCACCACCCTCGCCTCTCCTCCTGCAGAAGGTGATGGGCAGCCACCGCTGCACCGTACTGCAGGCGGAGGGTTGGCCCGCCAGCGCCGCCTTGCCCTCGTCGCCGCTGCCCCTTCTCGCCGTCCTGGAGCGCCTCGAGTCCCTTCCTCGGAGTGGCGGCCCCGCGCTCTTCTCCTGCAGGTGCGTCCGAGCCCTTCCCCCTTCTCGAAATGGAAACCCAACGAAACAATCTGACCCTTTCCTTTTCAGAGAGAAAACCTCTCAAAATGGAATGCCAGTCCGTTTCGAAGTGGAAACCTCTTTTGTTAGATGGAGACATTTTCTTTTGAAAAATGGAATACCTACCCCTTTCAATTCTTTGTCGAAATGGAAACCTATTTTAAATGGAAACCTCTTTTCATAGATGGAGACATTTTTTCTTCAAAAATGGAATACCTACCCCTTTCAAAATGGAAACTAATTCCTTTTCGAAATGGAAAGCTCTTCTTTTTAATACGAAAACCACTCCTCTTCAAAATGAAACCCTCTTCTTTTGAAAGTAAAGAACCTCGCCTTTTCAAAACAAAAACCTCTCCCTCCTGAGAATAAGAACCTCTCCTTTCCCAAATGGAAGCCCCTCCTTTTCGACGTGGAAACCCCTTCCAAAACAGCCTGATTTCAAGCCTCCCTCCGCCCACCCCAGGGACGGCGTGAGCGGTTGCGGGCTGACGCTGGCGCTGCAGCTGGTGCTCTCCCGGGCCAAGCTGCTGCAGGAGATAGACATATACCGCGCCGTCCTTAGCGTCACGTACGACCGGCCGCAGTTCATCGCGTCCTTTGTGCGTATACGCTGTTTTTTTTTTCTCCCTTTTTCCTTTTCCTCCTCTGACGTCTTCCTCTTCCTTGTGCGTTCCTCTCTCCCTTCTTACACGTTGTTTTTCTCCATCTTTTTCATTTAATGTCTTCCTTCTCATCTCTTCTTCCCTTCCCATATGCCTTCCTCTCTCCCTTCTTCTTCCTTCTTGTTTTTCTCCCTTTTTCCTTTTCCTCCTTTGACGTCTTCTACTTCCTTGTGCGTTTCTCTTTCCCTTCTTATACGCTTTTCTCCCTTTTTTCCTTTTCCTCATTTAGCATCTTCCTTTTCATTTCTTCTTCCCTTCCCTCGTGCGTTTTCCCTCGCTTCTTACACGTCGTTTATCTCTCTCTTTCCCTTTCCTCATTTAACGTCTTCTTTTCCCGTGAGCGTTCCTATTCTCCTTTTTTTCATCTAACATGTGCTTTATTGTCTATATTTTCCTTTCTTTCTCTTTTGTTTTCTCTCGTTCTTCCTTTCCCCTTACCCTTTTACATCTTTCCTCTTTCGTTTCTTCATTATTGTCCTTTCATTATTTATTATTTTATTATTATTATTTTATTATCTTTCATTATTTCCTTTTTTATTCTTCATTATTGCTCGTATGTTTTTTTGTTTTTTTTTCCTTCCTTCCTCTTGTGTCTTTCCCAATTCCTTCTTCTTTCCTCTTAGCAATAATGATAGTAGTGTTACTGATGATGATGATGATAATAATTATATATTCATAATAACAATTGAGGTAATGATAACAACAATTATGATAATGATAACCAAATATTGATAATGATAGTAATAATGATAATAATCATGGTAGTAATAATGGTAATAATAGTGATAATCATCATCATAATCATAATGAATAATAACAATTACAATGATAATAGTAATAAGAATAACATTTAAGACAATCATGATAATAATGATAATGACGATAATCAGAATAGTAATATCGGCATAAGTAATAACGATAATAGGTTTAAGAATAATGATAATCATTATGATAATAATGATGCAATTATAATGATAAGGATAATAGTCATAATGATAATCAAGATAATGAAAATGATACGAATAGTAATAATGATGAAAATAGAATGGTATTACTACTACTACTATTGAAGATTATAATGATGATAATAATAATTATAACGATCAAAATGATGATGATGATGATTAATATGTATTTATGTATATGTTGTAATGTTTGTAATTTTGATAATAAGGATAAATAATAATGGCAGTAAATGATGATATTAATGATGATATAACAACAATAGTAAAAAATAATGGTGTTGATACTAGTAATAACGATAATGATGATAATGATAGTTGTTATCATAATTATGACAATGATTATATTTATAAGTATGGTAATGATAATGATACTCTTAATTATCATGATAATGATAATAATGTCGATAGTAATAATAACAGTAACAATAATGATAATGCTGTTAATAATAATAATAATGTGAGTGATAATGATAATAATATTAATAATGATAATGCTGTTAATAATAATAATAATGTGAGTGATAATAATAATAATATTAATAATAAATAATATGATAATAATAATGATAATAATAATAACAATAATAATTCTGATAATATAATAATAATCATAATAACAGTAATAGTGATAATAAGTGACAAGGGTAACGATAATGACAAAGATTTTGGTAATAATCATCACCAACTACTTTGTGAACAGGAACAGTATGACTTCTTACACGAGGCGGCGGCCATGTTCCTGGAGGCGTTCAGTATGTATGGCAACTTCACCTAAGTCGCCATATTTGCCACCGTGAGGCCCTGGCTGCAGTTCAGAAGGCCACAGGCGAGGTACCTGAGGTGGAGCGAGGTACAGAGGACTATGGACCGGTCAGCTGGGTTGGGGGCGAAGTGGAGAGGGCCGTGGGTGAGGTACCTGAACTGGTGTTGATGTTAAGTGAAGATGTACATTCCATCCCTGATGTCGGATGAAAAAAAGGCACATTTGATACGGGGACGAAAAAGGTCATAGGCTTCAGACACCCTCCCCCCTCCTCCTCCCCCATTTCCTGGCGCTTTACCCGTTATCTGGCTCGTCACTCTTTGGCTATGCATCCCCGAGGCCTGTAACAGGATGCGATGACCAGCTGACTGCGTGAGGGTGCCCTATCACAGAGCACGTTGGCGATTCCCATTTTGGCCTAGAAGTTCTCTGTGAGCCACACACTGACATGCTTTTCAATATGAACAATTCTACCGAGAACTTTATCAAGGGAAGCTTCGTTCGCACCT